AACTTAACCCAGACGATAGTATCAGTCAGTCATCTCGGAGTACAAAGAAGTCCTCTTCAACAACCGCGTTAAGCGCGCGGTTGAAGGCCGTGGCTAGAAAGGCGGCAATGATGGCGCGGGCTCAGGTCCTGAAAGATGGTTTGGATCTTAAACAAAAACAGTTACAATTGCAACATGACCAAGAGCTGTTGAACTTGAGGGCTAGGATTTCAGAGGTTGAGGCTGAGGAGAGAGTTTATTAGATGTTTGAGATGAGAGATGAATTGAGTGATCGCGTCAGTGCTGTAAGAAGTTCAGTTAAGAAGTCGCCTTTAAATCCAGAAGCAGCAGAGTGGCCGGCGGGTATGTCAGGCGATTTGAAGAGCACAGTATCTGATGCACGAACTCGAGGAGCCAGTGTTGAAGTAAAGAAGAAGATGACTGGTGAGCAAGTTAGATATGCTAATGTTGAAGGAAACAGTGAGGAGCCCCCAGTGCAGGGCAAAGAACATCCAGTCGGGCCAAATCCCACAGTCTGTGATGAGCCACGCCTCCTTCAGATGATTAACATTCTGCAGTTGCCGAAGGCTGAGCTTATGACTTTCAATGGGGATCCATTAGAGTTCTGGATGTTCATGCGTAGTTTCGATAATAGCATTGGAAGTGCAGCTATAGACGATAGCGCAAAGTTGTACAGGCTCTTTCAGTATTGTAAGGGAGAAGCACTAAAAGTCATCAAGTGCTGCGCCGTCATGAGTTTTTCAGCAGGATATGCGAAAGCAAGAAAGCTGCTGAAAGAGAGGTTTGGAGATGACTACAAGATCTCCGAAATGTGGGTTAAGAAAGTCACCGAGGGACCTACTGTAAGACATGGTAAGGGGCGCTACCTTCAGGATCTGGCAGATAATCTCAGAAGTTGTGAGGAAACTTTAGAAGCCATGAGCAAACTTAAAGAAATTGACACTTGCAGGAGTATGGTCAAGACTGTTGAAAGATTGCCACAATCGCTTCGGAGTCGATGGAGGAAACTAGTTGTTAAGGCGTTGGAAGCAACAGGCAGATATCCCTCAATTGCCAAGTTGACGCATTTTGTCTCAGAAGCTGCTCGAGAAGGTACTGATCCTGTGTTCGGAGTCTCTCAAAGCAAGTCTAAGGACTTCAGTGGAAGAAGCCCATGAAGGCCAGGAAGAACCATAGGATCTAGTTTTGGAGTGCAAGGCCATGAGGACCAGCAAAACCTGGAAAGTCAGGGAAATATCAGTGATCCCAAGTTTAAGAACGCTTAGACCACGCCTGTTTGTCAGCTGTGTAAAGGGGATCATGTTTTGAGTACTTGTTCCCGATTTAAAGCTATGTCACCTGGGGAAAGGCTAAGTTTTTTGCGGTAAGAAACTTTGCTTCTGTTGCTTTGACGGTAGATACGCTGCGAAGCATTGCAGAGTGGGCGTTCTGTGGTATAGAGGGATGTACTATAAAGCACTCTAAATTGTTGCACCAATCCTTTGGACGATCTAGGAAGGAAAAACCTGGCGAACAGCAAGCAAACCCTAATTCTGAAACTAGTAGTCAACAAATTAAAAGGTACACTCATTCATGCAGTTCACTGAAACAAGGGGAGTTCAAGTTAGCGCTGCCCATGGTTCCCGTGAAGGTGAAAGCCAAGGGTCAAACAGTTTATCACTACACTCATGCTTTGCTCGATTCAGGAAGTACCAAGACCTGTTGCTCCGAGGCTTTGATTGAGAAACTTGGGGTGAAAGGCCAGCAGGCGAATCTTTCTCTAACTACCGTAAACAGTAGAGAAAATGTCGATGTGGAAGTGGTGGCTTTAGAAGTAGTTGCGGCTAAAAGTGGGATGGGGAAAACCAGTGTTATCCAACTGCCAAAGGTGTACGCCCTGCCCAATTTACCTACCTTGAAGAGTTGTATAGCCTCAGCAAGTGACGCCATTAAGTGGCCTCATCTCAGAGATCTTCGCCTTCCTCGAGTTGACAAGTCAGGCGTTTCTATTTTAATAGGCCAGGATGTTCCTGAAGCTCTTTGGCCTCTGGAACTGCGAGAGGGGGAAGAAGGACAGCCTTACGTCATCAGGTCTCGCCTGGGGTGGTCCCTTAGTGGTCCCTTGGTTTCTGAACACTTGATTGAAGAGTCTGCCCTTTGTAATCTTACTCGTGCTGACGAGAATCTGGATACGCAAGTAGAGCAATTTTGGAAGATTGAAACAAATGAAGCCTTAGCAAACAGTCTTCCACAGTTTTCAGTCAATATATGGGAACAGTCGGTGGAGGTAGTTGAGGGACATTATCAGATGGATATCCCCTTCAAGTCCAGGCTCTCTTGTTTGTCTGATAATCGAATTGGTGTTTAAGCAGGTTGTTTAAGCAGGTTGTTTAAGCAGGTCGCAAAGTTTCTTACCGCAAAAAACTTAGCCTTTCGATTATCAGACATACGCGAGTCATGTCTACGACATACGCGAGTCAGGAATACCATACCATGAGAGTCAGACCAGCATCACTCGCGA